CTTCTGAATATCCACTTTTCGTGATTGCAATCTAACTACTTCAAATTTCATAACTAGCATTTTATTAGTATTTCGATTTCTCTTCACTTTTAAAATGAAAAGTGGGGCCTCTCCAGTGGCGCAGCGGGTTGAGCCCCGCACTGTGGAGCTGTCTGCGGCCCCAGCCACCAGCGAGGCTCCCACATGGCGCAGCAGACGTCTCCTGTCTCGCCCGCTGCTCCCCTCAGCAGTGTATTTCAGTCAGTCTGCCTGTTCTGCTCCCTGCTCTGACTTGGTGAATCCTCTCACCCTCCCGCACATCTGGCCTGTACCCCAGTTTTTGAATAAAATAAACAAATCTAAAAAAAATAAGTAAATGAAATGAAAAGCCCCGGCAGGTCTTCACTCTGGGCTTCTCTAGCCTCCTTCTCCCTTTCTGTCCCGGCCTCTGCTTCTCTCCGCGGATATATCCACACCCCCGCCAGGCCACAGGAGGGAACCCCAGGACTGATAACAGTGTAGCAAATGCAGGCCCCTCAGGTGGGGGATCCTAAGGGCAGGAGTGCAGACCCGCCTGGAAACCACTTCCCCCCACTAGGCCAGTTGAAAAGACCCGGCTCTCCAGCAAAGTACCCCCCTGGCAGCCCCCCGCCGCATCCCAGCATGCACAGCGGAGGTCAAAGGTCGAGGGGCTGTGACCATTGGCACAGCCTCCCTGTGGAAGCTGCGGGGGGAGGGGACTGGGCACAACATCCCGTCACTGCTTTCTCGGTCTCCTGTTGAACAACTGGTTGGTCCTTCAGGAAATGGGTGTCCATTCCTCCAAGGCTGCACCCCAAGCGGGGTTCGAGCAAGGGGAGGCTTCAGGGGCTCAGAGGCTAGAGCAGGAGGACTGGCTCGAGCCAGAGTCTGAGAGCAGAGCAGATCCTGAGGCGGCAACTGGGCCCCAGCAGCTCCCCGCCTCAGCGGGGCAGCCAGAGCAGGTCCTGGAGTCCAGTGAGGGGCAGGAGCCCGACGAGAGCCAGGCTTCAGGGCCTTCCTCAGACCCACCCCAACAGCCATCTGAGAGAGGGGATTCACCGCTACCGGAAGCCCAGGGGCAGCAGCCACCCCCTGGGAGGCCCCGCTGCCACACCAACTGCCTGGAGCAGCCCCTCGCCCGGGGCTTCCAGAGGATGGGGCTGGCTGTGGGCTCGCACCCCTGGCTCTTCCTGCTGGCGCCCCTGGTGCTGACGGCTGTCCTGGGCACCAGGTTGACGTACCTGCCCAGGGAGACGGAAGAGAGCCTGGAGGAGAATTACACCCCTTTGGGCAGCCCGGGCAAAGCCGAGCAGCGCTTCATGCAGGCACATTTCTCCACCAATGAGTCCCACCTCTTCACCCCATTTCGGTCCAGCGCCGAGGTCAACTTTGCCTCCATCCTGGTGGTCTCCAACACTACCAATCTGCTGGATCAAGTCATCTTCTCAGAAATTGGGGCTGGGGCTGGCCAGGGCAGGCCAGGACCGCCCCAGGAAGGCGGGTCTCGACTGGTCAGAGCTCAGCAGGAAGATCGAGAAGCACCTTCTGTGGCCTCAGAGGAGCCCGGATCCCGCACCCAAGGAGAGGCGAGGTGGGCGGGGGACGCGCTCAGGGTCAGCGTCAGCAGAGCCAGGGACAGGGTCTCCCGCTCAGGGACGGAGCCGGGTCTCTGCGTCCCTTCGTGCCCGACATGCACCGAAAAAAGCCTCCCGGTTGCCCTCCCAAGAGCTGATGGCACCGGGCATCAGCGGCCCCAGGGAGAGGCGCTGCTCGCGCTGCTGGGGCTCACGAGTCCCAGCCTCTGCCACGGGCCCCGGGGTCACAGCGCGGGCGGTTCCGCAGGGACCCAGGGGCGGAGCTGGCCCCAGTGTGGCGGAGGGTGGGGGGCTGCCCCCCATGGGCTCACGTGGCCATGGCCAGGCCCACAACCCCACCACCATCATCACCCCACACACGCACACACTCACGCACACACTGCCTCGCACACGCAGGGGCGCCCCAGAGCCCAAGTTTGCTCCAAAAAGGGCCCGGGCAATCTCTGGCTCCTGGAGACACAGTGAGCCGCTGTGCGTGGGGGGCGCCTGGTCTCTGCTCGGCCCCACAGGCCGCTCGGAGGGGGCTGACTCCAGCACGTTCTGTTCGGAGGAAGCGGCGTCCAGCTCTGTGAACAGACAGCGCCGTGGGGGCCCCTGTCCCACGCAGATGTCTCAGATCTCTTCCCTCCGTCTGTCTGCCCAGAACGCCCAGTCTCAGGCACAACAGAGCGGGCGCCTCAGCCCCGGTCCCGCCCCTGTCTCAGGAGTCCCCTTCCAGAGGGCCGCCCTGAGCCCACCGCTGTTTGCTGCGGCTTTTGTAGGGTGGCGCGTGTCCTGAGGAGGAACCATTTTCTGTATAAATGCATGATAGAGGGGCCTCCCGGGTGGCGCAGGGTTAGAGAGAGCGCCATCAAGCTATCGCCAGCCACTTCCTTTTCTGAGACACCACCCGGCGAGCCGGAACATGGAGCCAGCCTTCTCCTCCTCTCCAGAGGAGTCTGGCAACTCCGTGGTGGCAGCTTGGTTTGCCACTACTGGATGACACTCGGACAAAGGGCCAGACTCCCTCTCCTCCTCTCCCGAGAAGGAGTCTGGTGTCTGCATAACGGTGGGTTGGTTTCTCTGAACTTCTTACCCAAGAATCACCAAACACTGTTGCAGATCTTGCCTCTAGTCCTGCAGTTGCTGGATTCTGGATCACTCTTTGCGCCTAGACTCTCACAGAGCTGTGAGAACCACCCGCATACAGCCCCTGCTGCCTCACAGGCACTATATTATCTAAAGTCTCTTCTATTTCGTATATGGCCTGTACCAACTGCAATAGTGTTTCATCAACTTCTGGCCATTCCTGGGAGGTGCCCGCTGGGATAGGAGGCTGGCCCTGAGTACCATCTACTTGTGGACCCCACCCCTTCATCCCTGCCCAGGTTTCCAAGGATTAATTTACCCATTTAAATTCAAGCATCCTGCTTTCTACCCAAATGAAAGGCAAACCCCAACATGGGTAGATTCATCAGTGTTTGAAGCAGTTGGGTTGTTTTCCTAGCTGTTGCCATCACCTTCCTACATTCTGCCATAATCCACAACACTCTACCCACTCCTGATACTCCAAAAATAGTCGCCCAACCCCAAAGCTTGCCCAAGAAATACACAGCACAAACCACACAGTGGCCAGCCAAAGGCGCACCCAGTGCCCACTGCCATCCCCAGGACCAAAAAAATGAAACCCATGGACCCCAAGTGGTACAGCCAGAACCAGCCTTCTCTCCTGGAGCCTGGCTGGCACCACCAGCCCGCCTGTGTTTGGGCGCCCGTCCGCAGTACCTATGGGCGTCCCTGGTACCTGGGTCAGCCCCAGCAGGGCCATGGGGGCTGGCGTCTGCTGGCTGGGGGCAGGCCGTGCCCTGGGCCAGGTGACCCCAGGCCGGCGAGGAGGGGGCCACTTGTAGTGCGGCAGCCAGTTTCCATTTGGGCCCTGCGGGGCCGCTGGCCGGGTTGGGGACACGGGCCTGCCAGCACCTGGGCTGTCCGAGGCCGAGTAGCGAGGCCGGCCATGCCAGCCTGTTGAGGCAGGGTGGGTGCCGAGCTGCCCGCCAGCTTCAAGGTCCCAGGTGCTGGGCTGTGCCAGCCGACGGCCCCGAGCTGGCACTGTGTGTGTGTGCCTGTGCGGGCCTGTTTTGTGTGTCTGTGTGAATATTTGTGTGTGCCAAGGGCAAGCGCATGTATGCGTGCGTCTTGGGGGTGGCGGGGCCCCACACAAACGACCAGGTGCACTCGGGTGGGGCCGGTGGTCAGCTGGGCTGGCAGGCAGGGGGCCCAGGCAGGAGGGGCCCGGGGCCTGAGGGAGTGGGTGGAGCCGGGGCGCACACTAGTAGCAGATGACCCGGGGTCGGACCAAAGTCCACCAGCAAAGCTCTGAAGGCCCAGGGACGATGCCTCGGCCGGCCTGCAGAGACCAAAGGCAGGAGACAGAGGTGTGAGCACACACAGAGGGGAGCCCATGACCCAGACGACAACCACGGGCTAGACGAAGTAAATGCAGCCAGCATGGAGGTGGCCTTGCTCCTGGGGGAGCCAAAGGTCCACAGGCCCCGATGGCAACAGGCCAGCACCCCCTCCCCCTTTCAACCATAACTTTATGGAAAACCAACATTCAAAATCTATTTCCCCTTTAAGAGACTGTCAAATATATTCCGATAAACTCTTGCACAGAGTAGTCTTATAATCAAGAGATTTTATGAAAATTTTTTTCTACTTAAATGAAAAAAAAAATTACTTTTAATGCAAAGTGAATGCAACCATGGGAAAATTCAGGCAACTTTCCTTATAATAAGAACTGTACATCACCCGCCTTTCCAAAACCCAGTTAAAAGCATGCTCAAAGAGGCTTTTCTTTGACTGAGTCATTCCCTTACTAGAGAGAGGTCTGTCCATTTGGCCTTGGTACCGTTGCTATTCCAAGATTTTTGTCTGTTTCATCCACTGTGCACAATTTGTTGACATGTCATTTTTCAGAGTAATTTCTTATAATTGTTTTAAATTTCAGAATGATCCATGGTAATCTTTCATTTCTGACTTTAGTCATTTGGATTGCACTGATTTTCTCTATTTATCAAGTCTCTAATTTATGCACGTCCATTGTACTTTTCATTATTTTCTTCTGCTCTGGAATTTTGCAAACATATTTTGAGACTACAGTTTCCTCATATTTTAGGATTGCCCCATGAATCAATCTCTTTGTCACTATGTGGTCACCTGTTTATCTGCAATATTTTTTATTCTTCAGAATATCCACTTTTCGTGATTGTAATCTAACTACTTCAAATTTCATGACTAGCATTTTATTAGTATTCGATTTCTCTTCACTTTTAAAATGAAAAGTGGGGCCTCCCCAGTGGCACAGCGGGTTGAACGCTGCACTGTGGAGCTGTCCCCGGCCCCGGCCACCGGCGAGGGTCCCACATGGCGCGGCAGACGTCTCCTGTCTCGCCCGCTGCTCCCCTCAGCAGTGTATTTCAGCCAGTCTGCCTGTTCCGCTCCCCGCTCTGTCTCCGATGAATCCTCTCACCCTCCCACACATCTGGCCTGTACCCCAGTTCTTGTATAAAAATAAACAAATCTAAAAAAATAAATAAATGAAATGAAAAGCCCCAGCAGGTCTTCAATCTGGCTTCTCTGATGTCATTCTCCCTTTTTGTCCAGGCCTCTGCTTCTCTCTGGGGATATATCAACACTCCCACCAGGCCACAGGATGGCACACCACGACTGATAACAGTATAGCAAATGCAGGCCCCTCAGGCGAATCCTAAGGGTGGAAGCACAGACCCAGCTGGAAACCATTTCCCCTCCACTAGGCCAGCTGTAAAACCTAGCTCTCCAGCAAAGTGCCCCGCTAGCCGCCCCCCACCTCATGCTGGCATGCACAGCGAGGTCAAAGTTCGCAGGAGCAGTGACCATTGGCACAGCCTCCCTGTGGATTCCTCCCGGGAGCCGCTGCAGGGAGGGGACTGGGCGCAACATCCAGTCACTGCTTTCTCCTTCTCTTGTTGAACAACTGGTCAGTCCTTCTGGAAATGGGTGTCCATTCCTCCAAGGTTGCACCCGAAGGGGGGTTCAAGCAAGGGGAGGCTTTAGGGGCTCAGAGGCCAGAGCAGGAGGACTGGCCCGAGCCAGAGTCTGAGAGCAGAGCAGATCCTGTGGCGGCGTCTCGACCCCAGAATCTCCCTGCCTCTGCGGGGCAGCCAGAGCAGGTCCTAGTGTCCAGTGAGGAACAGGAGCCTGTTTGCCGGGCTTCAGGGCCTTCCTCAGACCCACCCCGCCAGCCGTCTGAGAGAGGGGATTTACCAGTCCCGGAAGCCCAGGGGCAGCAGCCACCCCCTGGGAGGCTCCACTACCACACCAACTGCCTAGAGCAGCCCCTCGCCGGGGATTCCAGAGGATGGGGCTGGCTGTGGGCTCGCACCCCTGGCTCTTCCTGCAGGCTTCCCTGGCATTGACTGCTGTCCTGGGCACCGGTTTGATATACCTGCCCAGGGAGACGGAAGAGAACCTGGAGGAGCAGGACACCCCTTCGGGCAGCCCAGCCAAAGCCAAGCAGCACTTCGTGCAGGCACATTTCTCCACCAATGAGTCCCACCTCTTCTCCCCATTGCGGTTCAGCACCGAGGTGAACTTCGCTTCCATCCTGGTGGTCTCCAACACTGCCAATCTGCTGGATCAAGACATTTTCTCAGAAATGAGTCAACTGGACGAGGTGGTGCAGACGCTAACCATGCCCCTGGGAGATGGAACCCAGGTCCTCTACCCTCAGGTGTGTGCCAGGTACCAGAGCACCTGCATGCCCTCCAACCCACTCCTGTTCATCTGGCAGAAGAATAACAACATGGACCTGAAAAGCATCACCTTCCCTATTTACAACACCTCCGCTGTGCCCCTCTACTTGGCCGGCCTCTTGGGAGGAACTGTCCTAGGTCCCGGCGCGGGGACAAGCCAGTTATGCCTGCAAGCCAACGCCATGCGGCTGCAGTACTACCTGAAGACTGCGGACCCCCAAGAACAGCGAGTGCAGCCAGAAGTGGCTGCTCGAGTTCCTGGACCAAATTCACGCCATTGAAAAGTGCCTGGCCTTGAAGAACATCCAGGTGCCTGGGGCTGGGTTTAGAGGGAGGAGAAGGTAGAAGGGATAAGACCTGTCCAGGGATGTGTCCACGCCTGGCTACTTGCTGGAGGCCTTGACTTAAAACCGGCTCTGCTCCACTCTCTTTGATGCTTAAGCCAGCTTTCTTCAAGGTACACCAAGGGAAGCCGCCAGCCTAGATACTGGGTCACATTCTAGTGGAAAACATTCATTCTACACCCCAGGGGTGGGCATGTTCAGGGCAGACATTGATCTTCAGGGTTCCTTTTGGTTTTCTAGTCAGAATGCTCTCACTTCACATGCGTGCTGTTTCTGGAGCCCCCGAAAACTTGCTTGGTGGCACTGGAAGAAAAAAAACAAACCTTTAAGCTGATGTTCCCTAGTGTTTTTGATAAACACAACTAGCTCAGATTTCTCAAGTATTTTCTAGCATCCTGCCAGGCACCTCAGAGGATGAGCAAACCTGCTAATACTTTTGTCCAGGCCTGGTGAGAGACACCTGCTGGGAAAAGGCTTTGAATACCAGGCCTTGCTGAAATTATACTTTGTATTTAAATAGCAAAAGATAGCAACCTACTCGTCATTTCTAAAAAGCCAAAAATTTGTCAGTTATTAATGATTACACAGTATTAGAGAAAATTGAGAAATTGTATATTCGGGAATGTTAAGCATTGGCTTATTTTTTTTAAATAAAAATATATAATTATTTATACAAGCACTGGGCACAGTGAGATGCCGGGAGGGTCAGAGAATTCACCAGAGCCTGAGCGGGGAACAGATCAAGGAGACTGACGAAATACACTGCTGAGGGGAGCAGCGGGTGTAGCAGGAGAGGTCTGTTGTGTCAGGTGGGACCCTCACTGGTGGTCTGGGATCTAACCAGCGCAGCAGAGGCTGCCGACAGCTTCACAGCCCACCATTCAACCGCTGCACCACCAAGGGAGGCCCAAATATTGGATTTTTGAAAGAAATCTTAGAAAGCATGGCATGGATTGGTGGGGAAATTTTTTATTACCTTTATTCTAAAATCATAATTCACATATTTTAATCTTTTACCAAACTGTAACACGTTTCAGTCAATAAACTATAATATTTTGATACATCTTGTCACTCATACACAAATATTGTAATTAAGTTATTTACCCGCGTGTATTTTTATGACAGGTGGTCTACTTTACATCACTTTCTAGGAAACTGGAATTTGAGGCGACTGCTAGGACAGTGGTCCCTTTGTTTTACACGGCATACCTTCTGATCACATTATCTGCAATTGTATCATGCCACAGGTAAAAAACCTTTATTAGTTTTTAAACTTAAAAAATATTTGTTGTAAGATATTTAACGTAACACGTGCCATTCTAACCACTTTAAGTGTACAGTTCAGTGGCATCGGCCACATCCCCACGGCTGTGTACTGTCGTGACTGTTTCCAGTATCTTTCATAACCTGAAGGAGGAACTCTGTGACCAGTGAGCAGTGGCTTCTGCTGCTCTTCTCTCCTCCAGTCCTGATAAACCTTGACTCTATTCTTTCTATTAATTTGACTTTCTTAGATGTTTATGTCAATGGAATCATACATTTTTTGTGACTGACTTATTTCACTTATCATAATGCTTCCAGGGTTTTTCCTTGTGCACATGTGACAGCTTCATTCCACTCAATGGCTCTGTGCTCCATTGTATATGTGCTCCACAATATGGTCACCCACGGTCTTTTGTGGGCATGGAGTCTTTCCTTCTATTGACAATCGTAACACTGCAAGGAACATGGTGTGCTCATGTTAAGAGAATCATTTACAAGTGGAATTGGTGGGTTGCATGAGAATTCCATAGTCAGCTATTTGAAGAACTATCACATTGTTTTCCAGAGTCTACACCATTTTCGATCCCACCAGCAGTAGATAGGGGTTCCAGTTTTTCCACAGTCTCCCTATAAACCAACACTCAATTCTTTTTCCTTTTATCGATTTTACCTCTCTTAGTTGGTGTCAAGTGGTATCTCATTGTGGTGATGATTCGCATTTCTGTAAATATCTGATCACTTTGATTGTCTTTTCAACTGTTTATCAGCCTCTTGTATATCCTCTTTGGAGAAATGTCTATCCAACTCCTTTGCCCTTCTTATAATTGGGTTGTTTGACCTTTTATTGTACACTCACGTTTTTCATTAGCACTTTGCATATTTCAGTTATTAATCCCCTTACAAGCTATATGACTAGCTGATTTTTTCTCCCTCTATATAGACTGTCTCTTCGCTTTCTTGACAATGGCCTGTAATGATTAACATTATTTTTTTGAGGAAATCCAACATATCTATTTTTTTTGGTACTTATATTTTTGGTATTATATCTAAGTGTCCATCGACAAGTCCAAGGTCATGCACATTGACCCTGTGTTTCCCTCTACAAGTTTTATGGTTTTAACTCTTTTATTTAGAATATTGATCAATGTCTATTTCAGTTCTGTTTATAGTATTTAGTAAGGTCCCAGCATCATCCTTGTGTACGTGAAGATCCAGTTTTCAAAAAAAACATTTATTGAAGAGAACTTTCCAGTTTGCTAGACTTACTACACTTGTCAATCAACTGGCTATATTTATGGATTATTTCTGGACTCCCAATTCTATTCTGTCAGTCTGTATGTTATTTGCATGCTAGTACCACATTGTTTTCATTACAGTACCACTTTGTAAGTTTTGAAATCTGGAAATCTCAGTCCTGCGAGATTTTCTTCTTTTTAGATTGCTTTGTATATACTGGGCTCCTTGCAATTTCAAGTGAATTGGAGGGTTGGCTCTTCCATTTCTGAAAAAGAAAAAAAAAGGAAATTGCAATTTCAATAGAAATTGTGTTGAATTAGTAGATTGCTAGGTGATTGACATTTTAACAGTATTAATCCTTCACAACAACTAATGATGTTTTTCTATTAAATTAGGTTTTCTTTAGTTTCTTTCACCAGTGTTTTATAATTTTCAGTTTATACATCTTTTACCTCTTGGTCAAATGTACTCCTAAGTATTTTCTTCTTATTGATGGTATTTAAATAGAATTGCTCTCTTAATTTCCTTTTGTAATTCCTTTTTGCACATAAATAGAAACAGCTGATTTTTATAAGATGTTCTGGTATCTTGCAGCTTTGCTGAATTTTTTGTAACTAGTAGTTTTCTTGTGGATGTGTTGGAATTTTCATATCTGTGAAATAGGATATTTACTTTTCTTCCTTTCCAGCTTGGATTCTTTTTATTCTATTCCTTGTCTAATTGCTCTGGCGAGCAATTCCAGCACAATGCTAAATCTCATCAGCATCTCTAAGTTTTACGTGTTTGTGTTGTGTGCGTGTTTGTTGGTTGGCTTTTTAGCTTTTCAGCTCCAGATTTTGTTATGTTCCTTTTGTTATGTTCCAGATTTTGTTATGTTAAGTTTTTCTATGTATATTATTATTTCATTCATATATTGTGTTCCCTGTCAGTGTTCTCCTTTAGCATTCTGAGCATATTTAAGACAGTGTTTCTTATAGTATTTGTCTAGTATGCCTTCCTCCTTTCCATACTGAAAGACTACTTCCTGAGTTGGAGCAGGCACAAAGAGGAAAAGGAGCAGCAAATTTCTCGGCACAGGTGCTGAGTATATTCCTAATACTTTCCTTCCTTGGATGTGAATATATATAACTGATTTTCCTGCTAGTGCTTTTGTAGATTCTTTTGACATCTCACCCTCCCTCTCTTTGTTATCAATAGGACTATCTTGTGTTTGTTTAGCTCAGGGATTAAACACATTTGAGCATTCCATATTTTTTTGGCTTGGAATGAAATCATCTGGACAATAGTAAGATCTTCCCAAAAGAGTATGGCCTAATTGAACACCATTCTATGGCAAGTAGTGGTATATTGAGCTTGTAAACTATTTCAAATTTGGCATTTTAGAAATGACAAAACTTATTATGCCAACTGTTAGATAAATTTCTGATAAAATCTGGAAAATCTTTCTCTTCTCAAACATACTTTAATTGTTCTTGTGTTTAATAGACATCGTTATCTTTTAGAAAGATGAGGCCTCCTCCCCAAACATACAGTTTTTGAAGTGTAATCATTTCCAATTTAGCCCATGCTGTCAAGTTATTCGAATATTCAGAAAATTGGCCATTTTGCTGCCAGGGATGCCTCATTTTGACTGACCATTGGAATCGTGTGAGGAAAATTTTTGACACAATGATTCTGCAGCTTCATTGTAAACCTACTTGTCCAGACCGCTGGAATTCGTAGGCACAAAAAAGAGAAGGGCTGAGGGTTGAAATGAGGGGCTTGAGACAACTTGACGCTAGCGGTTGCTTCTTTATTTTTTCTTTACCTTCTCTTACTTTTCCCTGTCCTCTACCTTCCCTGACCTTCTCTCTGCTCCTCGTGCAGTAGCCTCCCAACCTTCTCGTGGTTCTCCTCTTATATCCTGGTAGCTCCTCCCATCGTACCTCCCAGTCTCATTTGATTAACAGGAAAAACCTGTGGTTTCTCAGAAGGCAAAACTGTAAAGCGAAACTTAATTGATGGCACGTGTTGTGCAACACTGCCTCCGGACATCTCCCCCTTTTTTCTTTTAATTGAGACACCTGGCCTCTCTTAGGTTGGCATATTCCATGACCAGCCTTACCTGTCATCGCTAATCTGGCGATGTTGGTCCGGACCACTTTCTTAGGTTGGCCTGGAAGGGCTACGCTCTTACCCGTCTTTGGTGCTTATGTTCTCTAGGGCTACGTTGACCCATCCGGATGCCACTGGGGAGTCCTGGTCAAGTACCACGGCACCAAGTACTTGCCTGACCACAATAGCACGTTCTTTCTTTCACTTCCATAGCCGACGGAGAAACCATATGCCTAATGCACAAACAGCAACTCTGGAGGAGTCCTCTAAACCAGGCAATGAGACCCTCACTCGTAACAGGGGTAACCTGAGTGTTGTTAACAGTTATGAGCTGTCTCGCCAATTGAGCAGTCAGGTTCAGGAACTGGTGGTTCCAAGGTCCTCTGATTACACTATTTAACCTATTTACTTCCTTAGACATATTTTTCACCATAACAGGAATTACACAAATAAAACAAAATGGTACACAGAAGGTTACAAGGCATGTGAGCAGTTAACAAAAGTCTGTCTGTCTCTTCTTACAATAGAGCTATCTGCTGATTAAGCATCAGAAGTCCATTTCATAAATGTTCATTCATATTTTGCTATGTTGATAACACAAAAGCAACATTGGCAGCTAAATTGTTTATAGTGTCAGCATTTGCAGCAGCTTGAGTGACAGAGATGGCAGCAACAGCCACAGCCGTGGCCACCGCTATTGAAACAGCGACAACAGCTGCAGTGATGCCAAAATCATGTCTCCTCCTAGGTAGAACAGGAAAAGGAAAGAAGTGCAGAAACATCCACGGGCATGATTAAAGTAGAAAGCAGACGAACCATCACCACCCTTTCCGCACTCTGGGTCCAGTAGGCAGAGAGGGCGCAGGGCTCCGCTGGACAGTTCAACACAATTGCATTTCCTGCATTATTGGAGAGGACAAAAAAGAAGGAGGACACAGGGAAACAACAGTAGATAGACTCTCTGATCTATTATTCTGGATACTAACAGATTGTTCAATGGTAGAACTAATGTTTGCAGATTAAATGCCATTAAATAATTTCACCTCACCCTGACCCAGCAGGGCACTATCGAATGGCTTGGAAGCCAGAACAGTAGTAAGATTAGTGGCAAATATTTGCGGAAAAGTGGAATCATGATGATTTTTGAGGAGCAAAAATGGCAGCTGTTGCACAATCACCCATCTTACTGACATCTGGGATGCTCGTGTCATCAAGGTTAGCAGGTTCAGGTATATTGACAAACTGAACCAATCGAGCAAGAACCCATCGGGGTGCTTCCACATCCTGTGGGAAAAGACAAATGCTGCCAGGCAGCAGTATTAGTACTGGTGCGGGTGGTTGCCACTCATTATTGACCGGGTCCTTCCATCTTACTTGCAGCATTGTGACCTGCCGAGGGTCTGGCGACCAGTGCCGATCAGCAGCTGACCGCCCCTGGGTATCTAGGGTCAAAAATTAAGGGTAAAGAGAGCTGTAGTCAGAAGGTCCCTGGGGGAGTGTTCTCCCCCTGTTTGTTTTAAAAGCATCGTTTTCAGAGAACCATGGGCACATTCAAAAATACCCTGCCCCTGCGGGTTATATGGAATTCCCATTTTGTGCACAATGCGATGGACCGCACAAAAGGATGCAAAAACCTTACTGGTATAACGAGGACCATTATCTGTCTTAATACACATGGGCTGCCCATTACTGCAAATGGTTGTAGCAAATGTGAGCGGACATCAGAAGTCTTTTCACTGCAATGTGGGGAGGCGAAAAGAAAACCAGAGAATGTGTCGATGGAGACATGGACCAGGCTCTGTCGTCCAAAAGAGGGTACATGAGTCACATCGGTTTGCCAAATATGGTTAGGGAGGATGCCCTGGGTGTTAACTCCTGGGGGCGGCATAGCAGCTGGAGCAAAAGATGCAAACTTGTGACAGGCACAAACAATGTCACGAGCTTGACGAGTCAACCCATAATGAACCTTAAGTGATGTGGCATTGGTGTGCAAGACTGCATGCTCTTCCATAGCACTCTGAAGTGCTGGACAAATTAGATATCCCCTAGTAAGAGAATCAGCCGCGTCATTGCCAGCCACTAAAGGTCCTGGCAATGGGAGATGACCTCTGATGTGACCCACAAAAAGGTGATGAATTCTCTTACAAATCAGTGTTTGCAACTGATGAAGGAGGGGTGCAATGGAGCTATGAACAGAAATATGAGCAACAGTTTCCAAAACATTTAAAGCAAGTACCAGATATTTGCTGTCAGAATACAAATTGATAGGTTATCGTGAGTAGGTCTCGAGAGCCGAGAGGACGGCGGTCGCCTCAATGACTTGGGCTGAACCACTGGGCACCGAGACCACTTTCTGATCCCCTTCAGTGACAAAAGAGGCTGTACCATTACTGGAGCCATCTGTAAACACTGACCGCATCCCCACAATAGGTTCAGTAACGAGGATCCTGGGGAAACAGACTGGATGATTTTGTAAAAATTTGCATAAAGGGTTGCTAGGATAATGCGAATCAAAAAGCATTGAAGTGGTAAAATAAAGGATACTCCACGTTTCATCGTGGCATATTAACCACTGAATTTGTTCTTTGTTATAGGGGAGAATCACCGCTCCCGGGTGAGTACCTGAAAGATGTAGACTGGAGTCCAGAGCCGTTGGTAAAATTCTGGCAACCGAATGAAAATAAGGCTCTAAGACTCATATTGGACAGATGTTAAGATGGATCAAATAAACGGGACCATCTTGCCATATAAGCACTGTGGGAATAAGATTACTACACAATACTAAGACATCAAAAGGATGTGAGACAATCTATTTAAGGTCACCTGAGCTAGAGCCTTTTCCACTCTAGTAATCTCTTCACGAGCCTCCTGTGTAATGGCTTTAGGGGAAGTGGGGTCTGCATCTCCTTTCAACATGTCAAAAAGGGGCTTCAGCTCTCCCGATGTAATAGAGAGTGAAGAGCGAGTCCTTGCTAGATCGCCACATAGGCATTGGAAATCATGCAAGGTGTAAAGGTGAGCTACTGCCAATTTTGGTACTGCTGGAGCATAACTGCTTTTACTCAAATGGTATCCTAAATACTGAAAAGGGTTAAGCCATTTGTAAATTCTCAGGAGCAATCTTTAGACCTGACATCAGTAAATTATTCTCCAGGTCCTGGAAACAGGCATACAGCATGTCGGACGTAGAAGCTGCCAGTAACAAATCATCCATATAATGATATACATGCACCTGGGAATGTTTGACTCTAACAGGAGCAATGGCTCTGGAGACATAAATTTGGCAGTTAGTGGGACTGTTTGCCATACCCTGAGGAAGGCACACCCATTGATATCTATCATGCGGGGCCACAGCATTAATGGCTGGGATAGAAAATGCAAATCGCTTGGAATCTTGATCATGTAATGGAATTGTGAAAAAACTATCCTTAAGATCAAGGATCAAGATATAATGATCTTTTGGAAATGGCCCCTGGAGAGGGAATGCCAGGTTGCACTGGTCCCATAATCTCCATAGTCGCATTCACTGTCCTAAGGTCCTGAAATAGTCTCCATTTTCCAGACTTCTTTTTGATAACAAAGATGGGTACGTATTCCAGGGGGAGGTAGACGGGACTATGTGTCCGGCCTGTAGCTGTTCTTCTACTATCATTCTTCCGGCCCCTAACTTCTCTTTCGGCAGGGGCCACTTTGGTACCCACACAGGTGTGTCAGATTTCCAGGTGATAGGAATGGGCGTGGGTGGAGGCCTAATCACAGCGGCCCCTAAAAAACAGGGTAACCGAGCCCTCATTTATCCCCCGCTTCCCTCATCACTTCCTGTAGATGAAAAAAGGGAGACTCTTGCTGTTGTTTACCCAAACCTTGTCCAGGCAGGTAGCCCTGATTAATCATCATTTGGCCAGCTGGACTATCCATGACTAATGAAGCCCCCATCTCCACCAGAATATCTCGTCCCCAGAGGTTCATGGGAATTCCAGGGAGGACATAAGGTTGAAATTGCCCAGTATAGCCTTCATTGTCCCTCCAGCAGAGCACAGTAGTACTCCTGGAAGGATTTTGGGATATTCCCAGACCCTGCAAGGAGGTGTAAGCAGTAGCCACGGGCCACTGTGAAGGCCAATGCTCCTTGGATATAATGGAAGTGTCTGCCTCAGTATCCAAAAGGCCCTTAAATGTTCTGCCATTAATTATCAATTCAATTAGAGGCCTCTTATCTAATGTCAAAGCCAAATTCACAAGAGGGTTGCCTGAAGAAACAAAACCTTCAGCACTGCGAATTACATGGTGGACTTTTCCATCACTGGCTAATCTTGGTAATGGTAAATTTGAGCTATTCTGTCAACAGGGGATATAGAGATAACTCCATGAGAAACAGACACAGGCATCTTAATTTCTCCATTGCAAACTGTATCAACGAGGCCTGGGATGACCTGAAGGCCTTTGAGGGCACTGGAGCTGCGGCCGTTATTAGTCCCACAATTCCATCGGGGAGAGGACCATACTGGCCCGTAGGTAAGCATTGCACTCCCATGCTAGCAGTCAGAACAGTGTATGCGGAGACACTCAAATTGAATCTGCCACTTCCTGGGGAGGTGCGGAAAAGTTTAGAGAAAAACTTTGCCTCATTTGGGGATTGCTGTGAACGGCCCCTATAATTGGATGAGGGGGTCGCCAGGGCTGTGCCCTCCCCCACGAGTTTCCCGGCTGCACTCCCATCCGGGGGGGTCAGCGGATTTCCCTGATAATCTGTCTTAGACCAACACTCATTCGCCCAGTGGCTATCCTTTTGGCACCATGGACAAACCCAGGCTTCTTTTGAGGGTTAGCAATTTGTGGTGTTGTAGCGCCCCCACTCCACCCCAAAAATGGGCAGGAGGCCTTTATGTGCCCTTGCTGACCACAAGCGAAACAGGCACGGTTTCGTGGCAGTGACTGGACCATCCAAAGCCTGAGCGATCACCCCACTGGTAACTTGAGCTTCACAAATATCCTTACAAAGTCTCACATAATCATCCAAACTAGCCCAAGATTTCCAGGGTCTAATAGCTTCCTGACACCACTTATTAGCATTTTCAAATGCAAGCTGTTTAACTATTGGTAGGGAGGCATCAGTGTTACCTAGAATTCTGCCAGCTGCAGTCATCAATCTTGCTAGGAACTCCGCATATGGTTCTGTTGAGCCTGGAATGACCTTTGTTAATTGAATGTTGGCTCCTCCTTTATCTCCTATTGCCTTCCAGGCTGACCGTCCAGCTGCTGCAACTTGGGCAAATACAGCCGGATCATAATCCTTTTGTCAGTCATTACTATCATATTGTATTGCCCTTCTCCTGCTAACATACATTTGTTTCTAACCGGAAATCCAGCATCAGCATTGAGTTTAGCTGTATGGGTGCAGTTCTCTAAAAATATACCTTTCCATACCAAATAATCCCCTGGGGAAGTCACCGCTCTGACTAGCGCTTTCCAATCATTAGGAGTCGGATTCATGCCAAACCAGCTATCCAATAAGGTATGTGTAAAAGCGCTCTGGAGACCATACTGAGTAACTGCCTCCTTTAACACCTTCAAATTTTTAAAAGCTGTGGAGACATGTACTCTAGTAAGCACCCCTTGAGGATCTGTCCCTTCCACGACTGGGTAAGCATAATTAGGGGCCTGGGAAAACAGGACACTTTCCATCATAGAGCACATTCTTTCCGTTAACGGAAGATCTACCCTGTTGAGTGTTCTAGGAGGTGGCTCAGGAGGTGGCTCCCCAGGTGTTTTCCATCTCCTTTTACACTACCCTGGCTTATAACAACCAAGGCCTTCCTCATCCTGTTCCTCATCTCCTCCCGACTTATCGGTAGAATATTCTAGGGGAAGGGCTGTTGGTATTTTTTGAGTAGAGGAAGGGGGATTTACCAATGTAGAACTCACAATGGAACTTCTACCTTTTTCCTCCGATTGTTTAGCGGTCCTGATGGCCTCAGTGTCTAACTTAGTGGCAGCAGTGCCTCCGGCATTAAGAGCATCTCCCACCACCCCGCAGACCGTCAAAGTAATGCCGGGAAGAGACTCAAGACCATATAATTGCTGATGTAAGACGATATCTCCTTTTACCTTATTCCATTGGGCACTATCGACCCGATCCTCCTCCAGAAACCACTTACTAGTGATACTAAGGGTCTCTACAAATCCTTTAAGAATTTTTCTACTGAGAGGAACCCCAAACTCTTTTAGGAGAGCTTCCAGGGAAATAACTAACTGCCCCTTGGACATTGAATTGCCCATGATCCCAGCTACTTTACCTTACTTGTCGGCTCACCACAGCTGGTCCTTCAGCGGTTCCTTCACTCTTTTTCATGCCCCATGTTGGGTGCCCCTGTCCTGACCCGCAGGATTCGTAGGCACAAAAAGAGAAGGGCTGAGGATTGAAATGAGGAGCTTGAGACAACTTGACGCTAGTGGTTGCTTCTTTATTTTTCTTTTACCTTCCCTTACTTTCCCCTGTCTTTCTACCTTCCCTGACCTTCTCTCTGCTCCTCTCGCAGTAACCTTCCGACCTTCTCATGGTTCTCCTGGTATATCCTGGTAGCCCCTCCCATCTTACCTCCCAGTCTCATTTGATTAACAGGAAAAACCTGTGGTTTCTCAGAAGGCAAAACGGTAAAGTGAAACTTAACTGATGGCACATGATGTGCAACACTGCACATGCTCCGGGTACCTACTGAAACAAGATGTTGATCCGGAGACTTAGGAAATCTAAAGTTTGATCATTCTCCAATCATTTTGATAAACTGCTTCTATCAAGTTCCTTGAAGGGTTCTAGAATATCTGCAAGCGCATTCATCAGTCTCCTACAGTGTCCATTTACATATCTTTCCTTCACTTACAATTATTAACAGTTGCTTAGAGAACCTCAGCACAACTAGTCAATGTAAAGTCACGGTAGCTGACTATTTAACTTCCCACTTCAGTGTCTAAAAATTTTACATAAAAATGAGAAACTTGTAAAAGGGATTGAGACGAAACATGTCCTGTGTAGCTCTCACTAATCTTTTTTGCATTTGAATTTCATCTTTGTTATGTTCTTATCATAAACATTTATAAATATTGTTTTCAAGAAGTATTGGAAAAGGAAAATATTCATTATGTTCAAATTTATTGTAACCCAAGCAATTTACTTTTGCTCTGAAATTCGTGTGTGTGCGTTTGAACCCTAAATTTAACTCAAGGCACCAGCAGTTTGAGAAAAAGTGGAACACATCAATGGTGCAGAAACCTTTTAATAAAGTTTTGCTATGTGAATATAGTCTGAAAAAGTTTTTTCGTCACATTCTGTTTTGGAAAATGTAGCTCCATTTCCTTAGATGTCTCTCCTAGTCTTCAAACTTAGTTTCTTTTTCCTATAGAAGTCCAGAGAGACTTTTATCAATCATTTGTTTTAAAACTGTTCACATAAAATTAAAATATAAAACCACAGGTGGCTGTCAATATTCAAAAATGTAATGTGGTTATTGTGGAGGCAAAGTACTGCATGCATGCTTTCAAATGCTCTCTCTATATTCCCATTTTTGGTGGTCGAAAAGAGAAACAGAAAAGTCTTGTGTTGATCCAAAAACAGTACATTTCAAAACAATTTTTTTTTCAATTAATAGCAACTTTTCTAGAACCCACTTCATCAATAAAGGAGAATCTTGAAAATGTTTTAGCAGGATGATTTCATACATTTTATTAACCACATACTATCTCTGTTGTACAGGAACCCTTTAGGTTGGTGTTAATAGCTAGTTGGAATCAGGAAATGAGTGCAAAGATAATTGGATGTGGGTACTTTCTCAACTACAGCTGCCTGCCCTTTAGTGTTGTGTTCTATTCACACACAACTCCTTGAACATTAGAGTGGAATTAACCATCTGCTGTGCTCCAGTACATGTATGTGGTTCTGAAACACCATCAGGGAATTAGTGCTTGGCCAGCTGCATAAGATGATAGTTAAGTAAAAGCACAAAATGCCAACTTTTATTTTCCCTCTTTGAATTGATGTAGTGGGTCTGGGATAGTGTATGGGAATTAAAGGTCTCCAGGAGACAGGTGTAGAATGATTGCAGGACATATTTCAGAACAGGTCCAAATCAAGAATGTCATGGATTGATGGAATTTAAGCATGACAGCTGCTGCCAAATATACATCATTCCCCCTCCCTATTTATAGGTTTAGCTGTATACAAAACCAAATGTTTACTGCAGTCATTGGAATGATTTCTGTTGCCTTGGCAGTGGTGAGTGGCTTTGGACTCATGTTATACATGGGGGTGCCATTTGTGCCAAAGTTGCAAATGCACCATTTCTAATACTAGATGAGTAAAGTAAATGTGAGGCTACACTATGAGTGTATTGGGGAGAAAGTTGATAACAGAAAGAGTTTATGATAGATTAAGTAATAGAACTGTGCTTAGATGACTACAGATCCAAAATAAGGTGTCAGAAATGAAGACAAACATTGTGTCTTCAGAACTGGAAAAAATAAGTACCCCAAATGCAAAAGTAAAGACAATGACATGAGCAGGCAGTTATCTCTCTCTCTCTCCCCCCCATTCTCTCTCTCTCTTTGACACACACACACACACACACACACACACATACACAACCCCGAAAATGGAAAATACAAGTCACTGGAAATGCAAGGGGGACAAATATATGACATCTCAATCAAGGGATGCAAATTAAACCAAAATTGAGATGCCTTGTTTTCTTATTAGATTAATTAGCATTGCAAGACTGAAACTTTTGGGGTAGTTGTGTGTAATGAACACTGTCTGCTACTGCTCAGAGAAGTTTGTCAATTGGCTCATACATTTCTTAGTCCAATATTTGTATCAAATCAAAAGGCTTAAAAGAGGATTCAAGGTGCATGTCTTTCACCTCTCCATTCTACTTCTAGGAATTTGTGCTAATAATTGAAAGAACGCTCCAAAAAGTAGACTAAGTATGTTCATTTCTGCGTGATTCAGAATTGAAAACTAATTGAAAACCATCTCCCCTGTCCACAGGCGATTGGTGAATTCAAACATAGGAAATATCTATATTCCCACCAAGAAACAGACTAGCAGGAAAACTAGTGTGTGCATGCTTGTAAATGACACCGTGCCTCTCAAGTCATACCTCAATGATAGACTGATGCTGTTGGTGGTCAGATTGGTTCAGTAACAGAATGTTGGCTGACAGTGTTTGTGCATTTCTGTGAAATGGCTTATGAGAGAAAATGGTCTCTCAATTAATCTAGTGGAATCAGAAACAGATTGCTAATCCTGCTTGAACTAACACGCATCCACCAGGTTTACTGATCTCAACATTGAGGCACCACAATTGGAGAGGAGTATACTGTGCTGTGAGGAAATAATAGGAATCCATGCAAAGCACAAGCTTATTACAGAAGGAGGAGTGTGCTCTGTTGAGGACTCAGAGACAACCAAGGAAAGTGTTACCTAAGCACAGAATGTGCGAGATAAATAAAACCTGAAGGAACAAAGAATAAAACCTTAAGGGACTAAGGATCATTTCACTTAGATATGGAATATAGGGAAACTAGACAAAGGGTCAGACAAAGACAAACTTTCAAAGTAGTTCTTGAAAGCTGACCTAGAGCGGAGAAATCCAGGAAGCAGGGGGAGGAGGAGGAGGGTGGCAAGAGGGACAGGGAAGAAAAGCACAAGGACTTTGGTGGAGGACCACAGGTGCGTTGGTGCTGGGAGAGCGAAGGTGGCCACATCTGAGGGGAGAAATCCTAGACTGTCAACAACTCAACAAGGATATAAAACAATGTTGATTTATTCAAGAGAAAACGGGGGAAACCTTTTGAATTATGTGATTTACACTTTAATGGATATGAATATGCATTAAGATTTTTCTTAACAGGTGTTGGCATTGATGACATGTTTATCATGATTTCTGCCTGGCAGAAGACCAACATCATGGATAGCGTACAACAGCAAATGTCTGACGTCTACTCCCATGTGGCGGTGCCCATCACCATCACCACTCTCACAAATGTCCTGGCCTTCTTTACAGGGGTGATGACCTCCTTTAAGTCCGTGCAGTACTTTTGCATTTACACGGGAACAACCTTGCTCTTCTGTTATTTTTATAACATCACCTGTTTTGGCGCCTCTATGACCCTAGATGGTAGGAGAGAAGTGGCCTATCTGTGCTGGTTGCAAAAGTCAGAGGGTAACCTGGACCAAAATTCTTCCTCGCTGAT